GCAGCGAAGTATCCAAGACCAATCCGCTGCTCTACCAATCAACAGATGAGTGTAAAGTGAGAGTTTGAACTGATCAGACCAAGGGGAAAATTCACCGAAGTATCCAGGACTAATCCTCTACTCTACCAATCAACAGATGAGTGCAAAATGAGAGTTTGAACTGATCAGACCAAGGGGAAAGTACACCGAAGTATCCAGGACTAATCCGCTACTTCTACCAATCAACAGATAAGTGCAAAGTGAGAGTTTGAACTGATCAGACCAAGGGGAAAGTGTCGCGAATCATCCATGAGCAATCTGCTAGTCTACCAAGCATCAGATAAGTGCAAAATGAGAGGTTGAGCTGACCAGACCCAAAGGAAAGTGTCGCGAGACATCCATGAGTGATCCGCTACTTTACCAATCAACAGGTGAGTGCAAAATGAGAGATTGAAATGATCAGACCTAGGGGAAAGTGCAGCGAAGTATCCAGGACCAATCCGCTGCTCTACCAATCAATTGATGAGTGCAAAATGAGAGATTGAAATGATCAGACCAAGGGGAAAGTGCAGCGAAGTATCCAGGACCACAAGTTTGGAGAACTCAAATCACCAAGATTGCATCAAGAAGCATCCACGAGTGTAGCGCTATACTACCTACTAGTGTGAGAGTGAAAAACACAAGTTTGGAGAGCTCTAATCACCAAGATTGCATCAAGAAGCATCCATGAGTNAGCGCTATACTACCTACTAGTGTGAGAGTGAAAAACACAAGTTTGGAGAGCTCTAATCACCAAGATTGCATCAAGAAGCATCCATGAGTGTAGCGTTATACTACCTACTAGTGTGAGAGTGAAAAACACAAGTGTAAATAACCCAAATCACAAGTAATCAACATGCGATCATTCCTAGAAGAATCGGAGCACTTCCTACTAGTATGTGAATGAAAAACAAGAGTTTGATTATCCTAATACGAAGAAGAAGACTAAGGAGGAGAAGAAGAAGAAGAAGAAGAAGACGAAGATGAAGAAGAGGAAGAAGAAGAACAAGAACAAGAACAAGAAGAACAAGAAGAACAAGAAGAACAAGAACAAGAAGAAGATGATGAAGAAGATGAAGAAGAAGATGAAGAAGGAGAAGAAGATGAAGAGGAAGATGAAGAAGAGAATTAAGAAGAAGATACATCTTCTTCCTCCCACTCACCCTGTCAATATCTTAGGGATGGAGTCTCAATCTCGATGAGGCTTTTCCTCCTCCTTGCACAACTCCTCCTTGGTTATGGCTCACTCCTTCTTCAAGCCTTTCGTCCTCCTCTTCTCCTTTTCCAAGTTGCTACGGGCTCCTACCACTAGGACTAGGGAGTCCTCCCCTCTAGGAAGTCTAATGGGACTCCTCTTAGTCTTGCCTTCCTCAACACTACCCTGGGAGCTATGGCGGATTACCTCCCTTACTACCACTAGCTTGTAGAGTCTTCTCCCACTAACTCACAGCCTCCTCCGAGCTTCCAAACTGGCAGGGGTTCCCCTCACTACTCTCCAAATGCCTCTAGAGCTCTCACGGGCTCATTTGGGCACCATGGGCACTCCTCATGCAAGTGTGAGTGTGGCGGACTGAATCCCCAGCTTATATAGGCTGGGAACAGCAGTCCGGCCAGCCCTTGGGCCCTCCCAAGTGCCCCAAGGTGAACCGAGGTACCCCCAAGGCCAATTTTCACCTCTAGGCCTCTCAGGGGGCACCTGAGCCGCTTTTTGGCCAGGTTCATGCAGTCCGAGTGGTTGGTACCAACTCGGATTGCCTCTTGGCCTACTCCGGCCTCTTTTGAACCTCACAAATGTTACCCCCTTGGGTCCTAATGCCCAAGGGGCAGTTTTACTTGAAAGAAAAAGGCCTAGTGGGCTTTTTTCTCGATTTTTTTCAGGTTTTGGCCTCTCTTGCGTAGCCCGAACCATTTTTCTAAGTGGCGACACATTTTCAACCTTGGATCTGGCTGAGATCCAACGCCAGCAATAATCCGTACCATCCCCTAGTAGCCCTTGCTTCAATTTTGAGCCCATAAGATCAATTTTTTCAATTTTTGGTGCATCTGGCTCTCCTTTTGGGCCAAATGCACTGTTTCGTCTTTTTCTCCTTTTGTTTATTTTCCTTCTTTGGGCTGCCACCTCATTCCAGATCTAGACGTTTTTTGCTGGCCCACGAAAAATGGTTGTTTTCTCTCCACCATGAGATCTGATTTCAGACCCATGGTCCAAAAGAAAACCGGATGTTTCCCCTTTGCATTTTTTTTCATCTTTGCCTTTTTAAATTCAGATTTTGTTGAGATATGGCCCCAAGGGCCATATCTCAGCAATCTGGCCTGCACTCCTTGAATCTAGGAGGAGTGAGGTCATCATTGGGACCTGGCAGTCCCTATTGCAGCCATCCCAATGGGCCGGCACACTCTCCTCCACCCATTCCACCTATTTTGTCTCATCCTCCCTCCTTTTTCTCTTCTTTTTCTTTTCTTTTTCTTTTATTTTTGTTGTGACATGTGTCAATTTGTTGTGCACTCTCTTTCTAGGCTTTAGAGCCTTGATTGTGGCCAGGTTCATGGCCGGCTGTTGGCCGTTACACCCCGGCCTACCAAGTTGCCATGCCCAAGCCCCTAGGTGGCTCATTTCACTCCCGTTAGCCTCCATTTTGAGCCCCTCTGGCTCCGATTTTTCTTGGCTAGCCTGTTTCTTGCTTGGAGCCTCTTGGGCTCTTGTTTTCTCATACCTAGCTGGTCCGAAATACCCCGGACAGTTGGGCAACCCTCCCCTTATTATTTTTTTTGCTCCTCACTCTCATTTTCTATCCGTTTGAGCCCCACTAGTGTTTACACTAGTGGCGCTAATATTTTCCAACGTCGAGATCCTTGATCTCGACGGTGCCGTTTGCCCCTCACGGCCGTTCCTCACATTGGCTAGTGGTCTCCCCCTTGGGACACCTCAAGTCCACGCCGCTTCCCGTATTAGTCCCATTTTTCCGTTCCGTTGGCGGTGCCGTCGACAAAACCCAATTTCCGACAATTTTTATTTGGGTCCCTTTGGCCCCCGGCGTCATCCCGGCCGATGCCCAATTTTTATTTGGGACTTCCCATGTCCCCTTCAGTCCCGTTTTATTTATTTTTTTCGTGTCCCAAGTGCCGTTGATAATTTCCCGGCCGCGGGACCCCTGCCGTGCCGTCACCGTTTTACCGTCACACTCCCCTAGGTCTGCGGCGCCGTTTTCTAGTGTTTTCGGACATGCCGCGACCCATTTTCCCTTAGTCCGGGCATCCTTGGGCTGTCGTCATTTCTCGGACTGCGTCCACAGTCATATTGCTAGCCCCACAGCCCCACGTCATGCCCCATGCCCAAGGAAAATAAAGCGTTAATTTCCCTAAGGCATCCGGGCTCATTTTTGACTCCCGGAGCCCCAAAATCTTGAGTTTGTCCCCGCTTATGTAGTCCGGTATATCTCGGACTGCACTAGGGGCAGTTTTCCTTGCCCCAGTGCCCCTTAACCAGCCCCTTACCAAAAGAAAATCAAGTGGCCAACTTCCAAGTGCATCCGGTCTCAATTTTGGCTCCAGGTGCACTCAAAATTTGTTTTTGACCTCCCCATGCAATCCGTTATTTTTTGGTTGCATGGAGCCTTGATTGTCTTTAATTTTCTCAGCATAAATCAAAGAAAACCAAGGTCTTTTGTAACCGCCACATTGCCAAAGTGAATCTGGTCCAAAATCCCTCCCCTAGGTTAGTGCTCTTTTGACTTTCCCCCTTTTACTTTCTTTTTCTTTTCTTTTTCTTTTTCTTTTCCTTTTTCTTTTCCCTCCATAAGTGAACAGTTGGGACTTGGCAGTCCCTACTTGCTGCAGTCCCAATTGATGACCAACTCACTCATCCTCTCTCACCTCCTATTTTCTTTTTCTTTTTTTTTTCTTTGTGCTTGCCGAGTGTCAACTAGCCGTTAAGACCCTTTTCTCATTTTTCTTTTCTTTTCTTTTTTTTTTCCTCCTCTCTTGGACAGTTGGGACTTGGTAGTCCCTGCTTGCTGCGGTCCCAACTGACGACCAACTCACTCATCCTCTCTCACCTCCTATTTTCTTTTTCTTTTCTTTTTCTTTGTGCTTGCCAAGTGTCGACTAGTCGTTAAGGCCCTTTTCTCATTTATCTTTTTTTTTTTTCCTCCTCTCTTGGACAGTTGGGACTTGGCAGTCCCTACTTGCTGCAGTCCCAACTGACGGCCAACTCACTCATCCTCTCTTACCTCCCTTGTCTCATTCTCTCTCATTTTTCTTTTTCTTTTTCTTTTTCTTTTTGCTCGCCAAGTGTCAACTAGCCGTTAAGGCCCTTTTCTTGCCTCTTCCTCTTAGTTTTTTCCCTTCCTATGCCCAAGGGCCAGTCCGTTATTTTTCGGACTGCAGTTGTGGCCCTTCCATGCCCTTGGGAGTCACCGTTAGCTCTCCTCTCTCCCAAACGATAGGCCCCCTTGCACCGATTTTTCCCGGGAGCCAATTTTTTTCATGTTGACTTTTTTTGGCCCTATTTTCTTGGGGGAGGCTAATCCGATATTTTCAGGGTTGCTCCCATGCCTCCCATTGCCCGTTCCTTTACTTTTTATTTTTCCTTTAGCCTTCCCACTTGCTCCCACTAGTGATGCTAATAATTTTGGTCGTCAAGATCTCCGATCTCGACGACACAACTCATTTTATTTTTTTACACCACATATCATCCCGCCATTTTTCCTTGGGACGTCACAGGTCCCCGCCACTTTTCCCGCTCTAGTCCTCGACACCAGTCTCCGACACTAGTCCCGCCGGTACCCGTCCCGCTGGTACCTGTCCCGCCGGGTGTCCCGCTGGTACCGCATTTTTTTGCTTAGTCTCTAATGGTCCCCGACATTAGTCCCATCGGTGCCACGTGGTCCCCGACACTCAACTCATAAATGCCGCCCCTTTGCTTGCTCCCAGGCGATCCCCGGCACCTGACCCATTGTTGCCACCCCTTTGCTAGGCCCCACGTGGCCCCCGGCTCTTTGTCCCGCCGGTACCGCATCTTCTCTTGGTCTCCCGTGGTCCCCGACACATTGTCCCACCGGCACCACATCTTCTCTTGGTCTAACGTGGTCCCCGACACATTGTCCCGCTGACACCGCATCTTCTCTTGGTGTCACGTGGTCCCCGACACTTTGTCCCGCCGGTACCACCTCTTCTCTTGGTCTCCCGTGGTCCCCGACACATTGTCCCGCCGGCACCACTTCTTCTCTTGGTCTCGCGTGGTCCCCGACACATTGTCCCGCCGGCACCACATCTTCTTTTGGTCTCACGTGGTCACCGGCACATTGTCCCGCCGGCACCACATCTTCTCTTGGTCTCACGTGGTCCCCGACACTTTGTCCCGCCGGTACCACATTTTCTCTTGGTCTCATGGCCCACTTGCCGCTGCGCCCTGGCGGCCCACTTGGCCTGGCTACGTTTTCTCGTGTCGGCGCCTTACGTCCTATGCCCGTCTGCTTCTTTTCTCTCTTCGCGGCGCCCATCCTATGTTACTACTATTTCCCGGCGGCCTTTTTCCATTTCGGGGGAAGGATCACCTTCACTATTTTCTTGCGGTCCTCTGCCGCTCCCGTTCCGTCAATTCCCTCTTAGTTCAAGGTTTCCAGCAACTTCGAGCAACCTCTAGCTCCCTAGCGCCTGCACTTACACCCTCGATTCTTTCAACATTCTTCCCTCCAGTTTTCTCTGTCGTGCACAAATTGGTCATATACAATCTCTCGAGTGACGGGAAGCCATTCGGGACTCACCAGTCCCGACACATTCCCCCCACATATTCGCGATGTCCTCATCGTGCACCAGTCCATGATCAGTGGGAATTTTGGAGTGATAGACAGACGGAGGAGGACGGATGGCATGAGATGGGTAGTTAGCTTGCCAGGGTTCTTTTTGTCCTTTCTCATTCTCTTCTCGGGGTTTTCCTTCAATTATCCGCCCCTTGGGGTGGAGGAGGGTATGGGGGAGTCAATGGTTCTTCTTTGGCTTCTCTTTTCCCTCAGCTTAGACCAGGTTGCTCATTTTCATCATAGCTCTGCCTCTTTATCTGCCCCTCAATCGAGACACGAACTTCCTCTTCAGTCAACTCTATATACCCAGCAGGGTAACCCATAATTCTTTCGACTTCAGTAACATGAAGCAGACGAGGCCACTTAACTGCTGGCATGTTGGCTTTATTCCCAGGGCGACAATTTGTTGTCATAACACAATTTGGTTTTCTCATTATATGTTTTGGCATTGATGATGACAAATTGTAGGCAAGTTTTCGGATGTGACTCAATGTCAGGCATTTGCTCCGGAAGGGGGATGTTCGTCCAGTACAACCATCGCCTTTGTTGTGGCGCTACCCACTTCGAATCACTGACCACAGATACAATTTTCCCTAAATACTTCGTAATCTCAAATTTATCTTCCCATTTTATTGAGAAAACATTCTCGAGTAGACACCATTCTGGTTTCATCTCATTCATTACTCTTAGATCATCCGCAAATAATCCGCCTTTCGGCCCGTGCAATCCACGTTTTCAGTACAACTTTTCCTCTCCCCGAGGCTCAGGCTTAGCCAAATCCACATGCATTTTTCCGGGTCATTCTTCCCAGTTTTTCTCAGGTCCTGCCAATTTTGCATGCATATCACCCCTTTGTCCTTTCTTGCTTCTTTCTTAACTTTTCATGTACCGTACTCAGTTCATCCATTGTGCACTTCTCTTCTTAGGCACCTTGTCAGACTTTCTTCTCAAGCCGATGCAAGCCAATTACTCATCCATTTCTCAACCTGCCAGTCATTTTCTGAGGTTCATGCAGAGTCGATTATACCGATCTTTTCTTTCCCGGTCGTCTTGCCAGACCCTTCTCTCAAGCTCATACCAATTACTTGCTCAAGTCCTTTCTGCCCTGGGCATCTTGCCAGACCCCCTTTTCTGAGGCCTATGCAAAACCAATTACAAGTCTTTTTTTTTTCTGGGCGTCTTGCCAAACCCTTTTTCTCAGGCCCATGCAAGCCAATTACAAGTCTTTTTTCCATGCGTATTTGTTGGTAGATGGCACACCTTCCCCCCACTCAAAACGCGATGTCCCCATCGCGCGACTGGTCCTCACCCGGAGGTACGAGACCTTTGGCCCACCGACTGAGTCAAGGACGTAAGCCCACTCGCTTCACAAAGGAGGGGTGATCATTTCCTCCCCAGCGGGTGGCGCCTCATCCTTCCACGTAGTCCGACCTTTCTTCTCTTATGTGGCAAGCACCAATACTGAGGTTCCTCTTCACGTCTGGCAGGCAGGTCAAGTCCAAGCCTTTTAGGCCCTCGTCTAGTCGTAAGAGCGTTCCTCGCGAATCGTTCCTCCCGAGTGGTAATTTTCTGGATTTCGGCCTCTTCCTATCAAGAGAGTTGGGGCTCTCAATTAGTCCGCGAGTGCAGTTACGAAGACCTCGCAATTAGTCCTGAAACGGTTGTAATGTTTCGGCAGGGCAGTATCAATGCCCCGTGGTGATGGTGGACTCCACCCGGTACCTCGCCCAACCTCTCCCTTTGGACAGTGCCGCCCAACTTAGCGCGGGCAGTTGTGGTCCGGCGCAAATGGCCATGGCACCCCTCTGTGACATGGCGTGTGGTTGGAGAGTAGCAAAATAGACTAGATGAGAATGACTCTCTTGCCCATTTGGTTCTCTCACCCTTTGACGTTTAGGCGTTCAACAGGAGGCGCAGTTTGAAATTCCCGACTAGAGCTCATTGTCGGAGTTGGTTCCGGACGGGCAGCAACGATCCAAGTGGTAGGTGCGTTGGTCCTTTAACCCTCATCCCCTTAAAAGAGGAACAGGTTGCGCTGAGACTTTTTCCCTCAAAGGGATAGAGGTCTTGAGGTCGCGGTGCAAGCACCGATATCCCCCTCTTGCTGAGGCCAAAGACTGGAAAAAGAGAAAATTTATTTTCAAGTCTATTTCCAAGTCCATTTCAGGTTGCCTAGGGTCCCCCACTTATGCAATGCAATTTCCAATGCTCATTCCAATTCCAAGGCTCAATCTCATTCCAATACTCAATCCAATACTAGGGCTCAATCCAGCTCCAATACTCAGTCCAATACCAAGGTTCAATCAGGTTCCAATACTCAGTCCAATACCAAGGTTCAATCTGGTTCCTATACTCAATCCAATACCAAGGCTCAATCAGGCTCCAATGCTTAGTCCACTACCAAAGCTCATTCCAGTATCTTTTCCAATGCTGAGTCCAATATCTTTTCCAAGGCTGAGTCCAATATCTTTTCCAAGGCTGAGTCCAATATCTTTTTCCAAGGCTCAGCTCGTCCCAATCTCATGCCTCTCAAGCAACCATGCAAGGGAACCCCAGTGCCAATTCCAAAGAATGACCCTTGTCAAGGGTCATTCCGAACAACCTGGTTAGGGTCGCTCTTTCCAATTTCAAGTCGAACACCCTGGTTAGGGTCATTCTTATCCATGTTAATCGGAAAGCCTGGTTATGGCAATCCTTATCCATTTCCATTGGACAGCCTGGTTAGGGCCATCCTTATCCATTCCAATGTTAGCGCCCGAGGGGGTGGGCCTCGAGGACACAGATCCTATTTCTGTCTCGGAGGTTAGAAGGCGGCCATTTCTTGGGTTTTATGCATGCTTTGCCTTTTGTCTTGTGTCAATCATCATTCTCATGTCCATACATACACCCGACTTAGCGTCTAGTGCTCAAATTGAGGCTTGCAACCCCAAGCAGCACTAGCCCACCCGGTCATTCAGCCATTGCGGAGGGTGCTTGCTCAATCAATGTTTATTTTCTCTTTCCGACCTCTCATGCCCCTCATTGCTTGTGAAGTTGTTTTTGACCGGTTGGGTTAGGCTCCTAGGGAAGAGTGTTTTTTGCGCCTTTTTACCCATAGGTCCCCTAACCTCTCTTATACTTACATTCACTGTCTGACTTTGTTCAACAAGCCAAGTTCATAGCCTCTTTCCCAAAACACAATCTTTGTTTTTCGCATGATCCATAATACAACCGCCCCGTCTAATCCTATACCAATATTTTTTTTATCAACCCTTATCTTGTAGAAACCTTTCTAGGTGGCTTCTTAGCAGCAACCGACTCGAAAACTTGCTCATCCCGTTAAGTCTCGACTAATCCCTGCCTCATTTACTTTTAGCAACCTGATTCCCATTGGTCAAGTCCTACCACTAATGTTCCTAACAAGCGTTTGCCAAGCTCACACCATGCCTATTCTCTTCTGTTGCCACCAGTCCTTATCCCAACGTCTCAGCAAGTACTCAATATTTTAGAATAGCTTGCGCGAGAGGTAGCGTCTAGAGATCAACATCAGCCTGTCTTGCCCTTGTCAATTTTTGAATAATCCAGACCACAGCTCAAAAGACGACCGAGATGATCAGTTCACCGTCTTCTATCCCACATACAACTTGCATACACAATTTCTCATGCCGCGACTCGATTTTCCCTTCCTGGTCCCTTGTCCCACAACCTTTTCAAGTTCCTTTAATTGCGAGGGCGTATCCCAGCCTAACTTATAAGCAAGAATATCTATCCTTTCCTTCTTGCGGACACCTCAAATGTCCTTTCATCGTAGAAAGTTGGCACTGTGACCGACTCGCCCCTCCTCATCTCTCTTCTGACCTTGATGGCCCATACGTCACATTAACCTATTGATAAAACCACTGGATGCATAATTGCCCAAAAATCCTTATGCCACTTTGTAACGTTCCCCTACGATTATCAACCTAAGGTCCTCCTTCCGCCTTCCAACTTGGCTACTTCCTCTGCCTCTCTCTCCCAATAGGTATCGATAGCTTGGCGATGATCTCCTCAAATTTTTTTTTTTTTTTTTTTTTTGCTTTCCTGCTTCTCGTCCTCCACCACCCTTGCCCTCACAACCTCTGGTCCTCACGTTGCATCGCTCATCTTGGTGCCCTCTCGCTGTTGAGGTCTAGTCGTGTCCGTCCTTCCTTTCTCAAGCGGCGGTCCCGTCCTACGCACGACCCCGCTTCTTCTCGTGGTTACATGTCGGCCCTTAACAAAGCTCGCCTACTTCCTCTTTCTCCATTACCGATAGGTCTAGGTTGTTTAATGTCGCTATAACGCGTCCATCCCCCCGTGTGAATTCCAGTCAACCCTTTCTCCGTTAGGACCCAGGATCTGTCCGTTGAGGGTCCTAGAACACCGCCCTCCTATGATGTCGTGGTTAAGCTTCGGGCAAAGCCTAACGAAGTGTCCCATCAAGGTGCAATATCGACATGATTCCTTCGAAGGATCTCCTTGACCGGTTCGACGCTCGGGTCTTGGAGTTAGAGCTTCTTGGGGTACCAACGAAGTTCGAGATACGCGGGTTTGCACCACCCGGAGGGTATCCCCTATCCTTTCCCTCTGGTTGTCCGCCCCTTCGCCTTGATCGTGCAACTCCCCCGACCCTTTTTTCACTTCGTACCCGGTTGTTTCTAGGACCTCAAACCCTTCTTTGTTTCGCTGGTGACTCTCTGTTCCGTCTTTCCTTTCTTGGTCGAGCCAGTCTGTGAGTCTTTCCCTTAGATTCCACAACTCACTATAGTCTTCATTTGACAAGGATTGTCCCCCTGTCTGCTGGCTCGTTCGATGGTCCGTTCCTGACTTCCTTATTTCCTTTGCGGTCCCTACCTTGGAAGGTCGCACCCCCTTTTTTTCCCCCGCGTTTCTGCCCGTCCCCCATTCACCGGGCTTCCCAATAATGCGTTCTCGTTGCATCTCACCTTGCCACTCATCATTGTGTAGCTTATTGTCATCCTCACCCTCAATGTCCTTTATCATTTCTTCAATTACACTAGCCTTGTAAGTTGCTATCATCTGCTCCACTTCCTTAAGTCTTCATAGGGTATCTGCTACCTTCCTTCTCTTTGTCACTTCACCCACCGAGGTCTGTGACTCTTCCGTATTTCCAACTACGATTGGCCTCATTCCCCGAGATTTTACAGGCCTCCTCCCGGTATGACTCCCTTTTTCCAAAATCCCCCTCCCGTTGCCTTTGACCCCCTCGCTGTTTAACCGTCGGTTGGCATTTATGCTACCGTCTTGTTCTCCCGGATTCCGACCATCCATGTTGCCTATCCGGTCACGTTTATTTCTCCGGCCCCTTCGGTTGCTTGCGACATTCATAACGTATCAAACCTGCATGCCATACAATCGAAGGAAGGAGAACTTGCTTTAGACTGTACCTCTCACAGTTTTCCTATCGCTATCAGTTCCGAAAATGTTCTCGTCTTCAAATCAGCTTAATCCTTGTCCTCTCGCTTCCTTGTGCACTTTAGGGTTCTCCCTACCCTATATGTTTTCTCGCCCTCTACCTGTCTTACTGTTTCAATGGTCTCTCTTACTAGTGTCACAAGGAGGCCATACAAGCAGAACCGCTTATTCCCCCATTTCGGACACCCATGCTTTGCTCGATTACGGTTGCCTGCTGGTTGATACCTTCTCTCGACTTCCTAGGGATTTTTCGTCACGTCTTGGCCCCTAAAAGTTACGAAACCCTTCCGGCCCCTCGAATTTCGCCGAGACGTCATCCTGGTGGTTCTAACAAAAACGCACACGCGAGGCTCCCCTTTTCTATATTTAGCGAATCCCTTATATACTGCCGTATATACTATGTCTGCTACACTAGTCCGACTATCCGCACTAGTCTCGCTCTCGCCCCCTCGGCTGCTCCCAAACAATATCGGCTACCGACTCTGCTTCTACGATAGCTATATCCAGGTTATTCAGGTGGATGACGGCACGTCGCATCCCTCCAGGCGAATTCCAGTTTATGCGCTGTCCCTGAGGTCCGAAAATTTCTCCTCTGAGGGACCTGCTTCACCTCTGTCTCATGATATCGTGGTTGAGTTTTGGACAGGTCCGTACGAAATGTCCGATCACTGTGCAATACTTACATTGTTCGTTAGTCGGATCTCTCTTGTCAAACCCCCGGTTTGCTACAGCGGTCGGAACTACGGCCTCCTGGGGCGGGAGGGCGGGCCGGGATACTTGCGCCTGCATTACTAGTAATGCGTTCTCCACTCTTTCTATCTTATTATCAACCCCGTGCACTCGCTCGTGCAAACTTTCTATCCCCTTCTTGATCTTATCCCCCGTCTTCCTAGTCAGGTCAATAACCTCTCCCTCCTTAAGCAGGGCGAGCGTCTCAGTCACCACTGTCTTTTCTGCGAGATCTGTTACCGTGCTGAAGTCTACATCCCTTGTGTACTCAAACTTAGTGGTCTGCTGGTAGGCCGACAGAATCTTATCTTTGTCGAACTCGGAAAACTGTCTAAGGAAATACTTGCTCATTATACGGTCCGTTACCCCGGGGATTCGCAGTGCCACTAGAGTAAACGCCCTTAGGAAGTCATTGTAAGTCGCATAGTTTTTCCTTTGGACTACCGCGAATTCGGCTTCTGTTGCCATTTTCTCCGCCTTCAAGTACTTCCTCATCATCTCATTCCGGGTTTCTTTCCAGGATCCACTGGAGGTAACGATAACCATAATGTCCCTACCTAGGCTCAGCGATACGTGCTGCCCTAAGTGGTCCATCTTCTCATCCTCAGTCCATTTCAACAAGGCTGTCAGATTCTCGTAGTCAATCAGGAATTCCGTAATGTTTTCCCCATCGAAAGTGAGTTTCTTCTTTGCATTTGCGAGATACCCCTGATTCTTGTTCAACGCCCGGGTGAGGGTGGCTACCATCTTCTTGGGTCCCCCTTCAGAGCTACCGGCTTCACCGACCGCACTAGTCCCCTCTCCTTCCTTGCTTTCTTTCTGCTTTTCCCCGATTTTTGGCGTACCCCCCGGATCAAACCAACCTAACACCCTCTCTCTGAGGCTCCAGAGTCCATCGCATCCCTTTGTTACTTTTGGCGTGGCGGGCAAACGACTAGCGCCGCTGTCGATAGTTGGCGGGGTCGTGGCTTTTTCTGCCTCCATGGCCGGGAAGTCCCCCTTTTCCTTCCCCTTCTTGCTGGGTGTTTCCTTGTGGCTATTATCTTTTGCCCCGTACTTGGCTTCGCCCTGACTGGTCATGCGTCTCTCTCGTGAAACTTCCCCTTGGGGATCCTCTTCATTCCCAACCATCATTTGCTCGATAAGTCTCGCCTTATATTCTGCAGCCCGCCTTTCTATTTCTGCCAATTTCCGGCGTGCATCCGAGACTTTCGTTTTCTTGGGCGTGGTTCCTTCGGAGTTCCGAGGACTCACCCTTTCGTTGTCCCTTCCTTCCCTATTCTCTTGCGGTCCTCTTTTGCTACCCCCAGCTTTCCCTGAACTTTCCCCCGTGGAGAGGCCCTTCCCATCTTCTTTGGTCCCCTCTAGCTTAGCTGACTCTTGATTCGACCCCTTGTTCCGTTCCTCGTTCCTATTTGTACCCTGACTCCCTCTGCTCTACTGATTATCGTCCTGTTCTTGCGATGCCATTTCTTTACCTAGCCTGCACATGGAATTTTTTTTTTGCGAAAATGGCCGGTTGTTCATAGCTTCCCTAGTTCCGGCCCTAAAACCTGGTTGTTTCCATGCTTTTTCAGTCTTACATTAGTCAGAATGACTCTCCTGACTTTTCACAGGACCATATTAAGATTTTCCTCCGCCGGGGGACTTGCTGTCGTGGTCTGGCATTTTGTCATCGCCCTGCCCTGGCTCTTAGGGCGGTGTCTGAGCCCGGTGGCTTTCCCCTTGGGGGTAGCCCTTTCGGCTTTCTGACATCCAAGAAGAGCTCCAACGTTCTCAGTGCGGGTGGTCTTCCTAGTTCCTTCCTGCCACTACCTCAGGTAAGGCGGAACTCCTACCACTGCCCCCCCTCTTTGCTGACGGCTTCCTTCTCATCTTAATATCCATCCTTTACCTTCCCCTCCTTTCCTTGGTGCCTTTTCTCACGCCAGTCCCTCAGGCCTGTCCTGTTCGTCCGATTCTTTGAACAGGTCAGCCACTCCAGCAAGGTAGTTTCCTCCCATCTCTTTCTCCCTGATAATTATCGGTTCATATTCCTCAAATGCCAAGCGAGGCAAATCGAATATCAGGATTTCGATAAGTTCAAGCAATTCCCAGTCCTGGTTCCCCCAGAACGGCCCATGCCTAACCGACACATCGTAGAACATTCCCGTTGTCTATGGCCGGAAGCGATGGATCCAGACCAGGGTCGAGTCCACCAGATCCCTTGCCCTTGAGAGACTACCAAATACCAGGTCCACCATAAAGCGAGGCACTTGACACCTCAGCCCTGTCATCGGGGCCTTAAACTCCCACCAACCTCCTACCTCCACCTGGGTTCTCAATCCCACATTTCTTCTCCCTCACACCTCCTGGCCTACTCGGTTCAGTATCCTAGTAGCCCTTCGAAAAATTGGTAGCAACCCATGCCCTAGTGCCAACTCCGTTCCTAACATGTGTCACCCGAGCTTCGGTAGGTATACGGTTCCAGTCACCCTGAGGTCAGTGTACAGATTGTCCCCTGTCCCCTATTAATCCTCATACCATCCCACAAACATTCCGCCATCATGAACGCCTGGTCCCTCCCCAAGGTTACGGCTCTCCATTCAGTGTCAAGTCCCCGGACCATGTAGCTTGCCGGGAGTGATACTTCCCATCCGCCTCCACTTTCCGTGGGTGGCTGCGGGTGCGTGGGCCGTCACGACATCCGGGCGGATCTCATCGCCATTATTGATTTAGCGGTCCCCTACACAGTTTAAACAGCAAGCGAGTTTGCTTATTTCATTTATTCTTCAGTCCTCACCTAAGCAACTCCCTGGCCCTTAGCTCGATGCTTCTTTGCCTTTCTATCCTCCCCCCTTTTCCTCGGCTCCTTTACCAGCCTGTTCCTACTTCCGCTGGCTCATACAACCAATGTAAGTCATCTACGTACGTCATCCCCCGACTTATTTCTCGTCGGACGACGACCCACAGAACCTCACTGCCTACGATCGGAGCCCTTGGTCTAGTGGTAAATACGACGCGCAGGATTCGCAACACCTCATACCTCTGCTCACCGCTGAACGGCCCCATTTCTAGGAAGGCCCGATAATATTCTCGGTGCACCAACGTGTCTTCATATGTCGAATCGGCGAGGTCGGCCACCGCCTGCCTGACAAGTTTCAGGCCGCCTAGTCTTTCCACCAGGAAGGGTGGAAATCTCATCCGGACGTTCTCACTAGGCAATTCAAAGCTCCCGACCATAGCTACCCTAAGATTTGTCGTTACATCATCAACCCCCGGGTCCGCGAATTCGAACGCTGCCTGCCACACTAACTGCCAGGCCCCTTCAAACATACTCAACGGATCTTCTCTTGACGCCAATCGGACTCCGAACTCCCGCCACCCGTCCTCGGACACATACAATCGTCCTTTCGCGCGCACATACCCCCGCGGGTCCGGGTTCCATTCCCCATTCTCATCCGCGCGCCACTCGACCCTTGTTACCAAGTAAACCATGTTCTCCATAAGTTCAACCGCGACCCAATCCACCATGGGGTGCCAACCCTCACTTGCGGTCGGCAGGCTAACCTCTACCCCACCCGGTACTTCCCTCGATGGCTCAATGCCTAGGGGGCGGTCTTCAAGGAACGTCCTTCTTCATGTCATTGCGCGCTTGTCCTTGATCGCCTAGCTCGCAACTCGCAATGGGTCCTACAATGGCCAGGCATCCCATTCCCTTATCTTAGCAAATTTCCCATGTTTGCCTGGCCCCACTGCTTTCCCCGCTCTTCAGTCGAACCACTGTACTTCGAACAGCCTAAACACATCATCTACATAGCAGGGTGTGGCAGTTACCTCGCGACGGATTATGGCCTCTCTGATTTCCGGGGCCACTTCCAGCCGGTCATTCCTTTCGATGTCCAAAATGATGAGGACCTCCCAGGCTCTATCGCCATGAAAGGGCCCAAATTTCAGGGACGTTTTATAGAATTCCTCCGTTAGCCAAGCGCAATTCATGTGCACCTGCCCCATAGTGTCGGCTACTTCCTCGACATGGTCGAAACCCCCAACCAGTCTGCTACGAACTCGGGTACCCAGGTCTTGACTCGTTGGCAGGGGGGCTTGAATTCCTTCCATCCTCCCATCACGACTCTACTACTGACCACATCCCATCCCTTGTTAGCAAACCTCTCACCCGCCCGTCGAGCCTTTGTCTCAGCGTTCCCTAAAAGCCACATCGGGTTCTGCCCTGCTGCGAGCGTTGTGCAAAACAGGTGTCAACCTTGTTCGGACAGAGTGACCGTCCCGACCGATTCCACCCTTCCTTCCGCAATCTCCTCCCATCCTTCCTCTTCCCTTAGCGGGTTCCAGACACGTTCTATCCATAGGTATGATAGGCCGGGCACAACTTTTGACCCTACCCAGTCACACGAGGTCCCCCTCCATTCATGATATGCTGGTATAGACATTTCTACTCCCCATCCGACCCATTTCGGTTCCGATCCTTTGGGTGTGCAGTCCCACAGCTCGCGCTCCCGGGCCATCGCTCCCTTCCTGCACATGGTCGACAACCCATTCCTGAATAAGTCCCCCCCTTTTTCTTAGAAGTCTCCGTCCTCTATATCGCCCCCGTCCTCATCATCGTTGAAATCCTCCTCCTCGTTTGAGAACAGTTCTTTCAATCCCTCTAAGAAGGTTTCTCCCGCCACCACATTTCGATAGATTATCCGCCAATGCGCCGGGCTAGGGACAAAGATTTCATCTGCGCTGAGGAGGGTTAATACCTCAGCCAACTCTTCCGCCCAGTTCCCCTCGAACGGCCCTGCCTCCACTGACAGCCTAAAGAAATCTTGTCGAGCACATTGGTACAGCCTCAGGTGTGTCATCAACCGACATATTTGTTCCAGTCTATCCCTAGTCCCAAAGACGGGATCCACCAAAAACGGGGGTAGTACACACCTCATTGTCCTAAGGGGCCGCCTCATATTTTCCCTGTCCCCAAGTTCCACTTGTACCTCTACCTTGTCCATTTCCATTTCCGCCTGTGACACGATGCCCATACAACTTCTTGTTCCGCTCGTCTAAACAACTGCGTCGGTGCCATGCCCAATACCAATCCTATTATCACTGCATTTTCCATCTCCTGGAATAGGTAGACCCACCCTCGGGCTTCCACCGTTCCCCGGAATTCTAAGTTCATTAGACTTGGTGAGAGTCTCGTCAGGCTAACCTTAGTCCAGATCGTCTCTATTAAAAGGAACACGTCCTTTTCGTCCAGCATCACAGTTTCATAAGCCGGCTCCAGGTCTGTCCACGTTCCTTCCTCCGGGAGGACGACAAATACCCCTTCTTTTACGTCTATTGGCATTTTCGGACCACTAGAGTAGACTGGTGAAGAGAACCACCACGCCATCTTGTTTTTCGGCGCCCGTCCTGTTTTTCACAAGAGAGCACCACACAGCCCCTCATGGTCAGATTGTCTCCCTTTCTTAGATGAGATTTGTTTTCAGACCCCTCATCAGGGTCTCCCTAACCCTTCCTTTCCCATTTCCCAAATGTCGCTACCCCGTCGTATCCCCAATTGATCACCACCAGCCGATATTCCTTTCTCTTGGTTCTATTTCCTTCCGACTCCTATCCAGCCTTATCCTCATGTTCTCTCACTCGTGCGGACTCAGACTGGGGGTGAGAATAGACTCAGAAGCTTAGTCCCTTTCCCAACATTCATCAGGCAAACTTTACAGAGGGAGTCACAAAAGAGAAAATCAAGCAATCGTCATACACAGGTCGGTCATCTCGTCACCGGCCTTTCTCCCAAAATTGTCTCTCCACTGTTACTGTCGACATAATTTTATCCCGTACCTCAAGCACAGCTCAACCGTCGCGAGCGCGGTACCCAGACTCCAGTGGGGGGTCGCCCTCACCTTCTTGCCCAGAATACCCCATCCTGTATTGCCGTTTTTGCTCATCCATACCGACACCAGGAATCACCCCGTGTGCCTAAATACAGGGACAAAAGTCAGCCGTCCGGGCATTCACTTCCATCGGTCCGATAAGGAACAGCCTTTCCCAAACCAAGCTACGAGAAACTACTAATCGTCTCCAAGGCTCCGTCTTTGCCCGCATGCAGTGGTACTCCCTCCGCCAGTCCACAGGCTAGGCCCCGCCTGAAGAGACGATCGCACCCCGCCCCGCAGATCATTGGGCCGAGACCCGTCACCGCACGAACGAGAATACGACGAATCACTCGGCGCAACAAATTCACGTTAGACAGCTTGGTGGCCTGACCTCCACACCCGGACAAACGGCAGTCTACAAAAGAGAGCGACATTTCGCAACCCGCACCGGCCGGTGCAGACCCCTTCTTTCCTTCCGAAAGGCAGGACGCTCAAAACCCCATCATGCAATCACAAGTCCTAAGTGGGACACACATAATACAAGTGCCTTTCCTTCGGTGCACCCAGTGCTTCCTACCCATTGCTCACAGGTTTTCCCTCAGGACAGTGTGTGCCACTCACCCCTAACTTCCATACATAGTGCCTGGTTCCTTTTCGTGAGCATCTTCAAAGGTGAGCTAGTTTTCCTTGGAGTCTAGCAACTCCCTTCATTCCCTTTATCTTCGCTTCGTGTATCCGTTCATAGGGCAGGATCGTTCCTTCTTGATTACCCGTTTTGTTTATATGAGGTTCCTTCAAGCATTTAAGTGTAGTGTATGGAGCCCGTTGGGCTCCAAAGTAGAGAAGAGGATACACCCAGGTCGGTCGGATCACTCCGCCGTGGGATTTTCATTGGAACCCGGACTAGCCCGGAATCACAACCGCCTGCCAGGTAACCGGAGCCCTTCTTTCACACAAAGAGGAAGGGTCGACCTGCGGCTTGCCCAAGGCTTCCCCGGTCTGACGAACATCAGCCCGAGAGAAGGAGGACTAGAGTCACCCCCATAGGGGATGGCTGATCAATGTGCAAGCATACATGTTATTCCTCCAGGCCTGACCCTTGTCATGCGCCCAGCCGCCCTCAAATCTGATTCACTCAAGGGAGTCGAGCATACACAAGTCCTCATTCCTTCTCTTTGGTTATGAACACGGTTATGCGTCGGGCGCCCCCCTCGAGATCGTATGGGTCAGTTTAACCCATACCCGGCACCTCCACCATTTTTGTAGGGGCCGTACTCTAAAGGACTTTCGAGCCTTGGTCGACCCCACTGCGGGTCCCATTTGGCTCGACCCGCCCACGCTCACGCTCAGGGCGCGGGTCGTTCGTCCCAGGGGCATCCCCACCTAGTGCTATGAGATGGATGGGGATGGGCCATTTGCGAGAGGGCTTTACATTGGGGGATGTAGCTCCGCCCTCACGTCTAGATGGTAACGCTTTGGTCACTCGTGGCGTTTTCTCGATTCATTAGAGTGTGATCAGGCAATTCCTCCTTCCAATACGTAGGCAGTCCAGGGGGTTCATTGAAGATTTATCTTCTTTACGTGTGCAGGCCAAGCGTCATCCATTGAGCCACACACCTTTTCACTAAGCCTAGCGGCTCGAGACAGCCCCTACGGCATCCTCGGGGTGGGGTGGCATCGTCCGGACCCCTAGCCGCTATATTTTTTTTGCTTGAGCCACTAGCACTAGCATAGCATTTACCTATCCAAGACCGCCCTTAGTCCTTTTGGGCCTGCATCGCATTCAAGAGAGTCACTGCATTCAATATCACACAAGCCACATCCCGGCATCTACCACTCATCCAAGCATCCGACCATCCACCCCATTATGCATTCATAGCTCAGGCTAGGTCTAAGTCCTTCCCTTATTCAATTTCCCACCCTTGCCCTCGTCTGCGGATCTTGTCCCGATTTGATCATCCCAAGCTACTCACCTGCGCAAGACCACACAAAACAAAGGACCAAGTACAATAACCATTGGGGTCAATGCATCGCCCCTTCCCACAAGCCTAAGTTTCCTTTGCCTTTGATGATCCCTTAATTGTCTTTTCCTTCCCTCAAGCAAACCATGCCTTCACCTTAGTCATGCAGTCGGGGAAGATGGTTGAGTCAAACCGACCTTGTCACAAAACTTCACTCTTTTCCGTTTTCCCAGATGCTCACAAAAGCCCGGTACTTTTCCTTCTTGGTGGCACAAGGGACCGGCAACCCTTCCCTTGCCCTCGCTTTCCACCAGGTGAGGACCAAGTTCTTTGTCGTTCGTTCCCTGACAACGTAACAGGTGAGAGGCGAGGTTAGTTATGTGCCAAGGAGGGGAGGGGAGAGAGGGGTAAAGGTTAGGCGCATAGACAGGGGGGGAAGGAAGAAGGAAGAGCGCAAGAGGGAGAAGAGGGGAGAGAGAGAGAGAGAGAGAGAGAGAGAGAGAGAGAGAGAGAGAGAGAGAGAGAGAGAGAGAGAGAGAGAGAGAGAGAGAGAGAGAGANAGAGAGAGAGAGAGAGAGAGAGAGAGAGAGAGAGAGAGAGAGAGAGAGAGAGAGAGAGAGAGAGAGAGAGAGAGAGAGAGAGAAAGAGAGAGGGACGGAGAGGGGAGGGAGAAGAGATAAAAGAAGAGGGAAGGACGAGGAAGGAGAGAGAGAGAGAGAGAGAGGGAGAAGGAGAAGGAGAGATGGAGCTACCTCTTCCATCCTAATC